AAAGGTCATTCTACATTTAAAGTATTTGAAGTCTAGGTTTAGTGGTGTTCTGCAGAACCAACCCTGCTCATTGTGTTATTATGATTGTTATTATTAATCGAGCGATTGATGTGTCAGAACCATTGAAAAACACCCAATAGGCATCTCTAGTCCTGCCTTGAATGCGAATTCTTTGGCATTTAATAGATCCTTACAATATTACTAAGATCTCCGGCATTCAATGCCTTTTGCCCTTAGGTTTCATTCTGTCTCGTGAAAAAAATCATTTAACAGTTATTGAAAACTTGTCATTGAAAGTTCAATGATAAACCTTCAAGGTGTGTTGTGTGGTTAGCATTAGAGTCACAGGAGACGGAGTTTCATAAATCTGTGATATCATTTTTATTTATTATGGACCTCTGCAGGGTATTCTATTAGATTGTGACAGGTCTTCAAGAATTAAGTTTTATGTGTGTCAAGAACTTTCAAACTGCTTTGCAAAGCATGTACAAAAATGGGCTTATCTAAACAGTATACGTCTTCATCCTTGTGTTCACAAACTTTTTAAAGTTGCAGTTTTTAAAGTTACATACAAGTTCAGGTAGGTTCACCACAAAAAATACTAATTCATAAGTCTTTACTTTGTAATCACCTAGTTTTTTTTTTTTTTTGACAGTTTTTATTTTGAGTTTTTCAAACAGCAAATCATAAGCGTCAGTGCAACGAACAGTACAATGCAGCTTATTGCATGTTTACAGAGTATATGTTTTCTCAATACAGTAGGTAAAGTACGTCAGCTTACGATATAGTACAGGGCAACATTAAGCGATAACCGGAGTTGTACCAAACTGCAATGGTGGCAATTCCCCATACTATGATATATCCAACTCCATGTGCACGCCATCAACCAATGGCCCCAACAAAAGTCATTTAGGAGACCACCGAATGCTGGAGCACCCAGGTTCTACATGTAGAACTAGCCCCTCTGGAGGTGTCAGCTCTTGGTTCAAGGGCGACATTCATATCGCCTGCCACTATCAGGAAGCCCTCCCGGAACTGCTTGAGCCCATTCAGTATCCTCCTCAGAAATCTGTGTTGTCGGACATTAGGAGCATAAATGCTAGCCAAGCTATATGTGCAGCCTACGATGGTGCCTTTAAGGAAAAGGAAGCATCCCATGGTGTCAGCTAGGACTCCTGTTCATTCAAACAGTACAGTGTTTGCGAACAGTATTGCAACTCCAGCCTTTTTAGCAGTCTGGTAGTTTGCAAAGAACCCCTGGGGGTATCGTGAGTCCCGCAGTGGCAGGCCTGCGTCTCCTCGGAAGTTGATCTCTTGTAGAAACACAATAGACACCCTACACCCTACTATCCTGCTAGACACTGCAGGAGCCCCCTGTATGTAATAAAATTTCAATTTACAGAGCAGGAGATACATTTTCTTTAACCCCTTAGTGACTAAACCACTTTTAAATTTTCCTACCGTTTGGGACCAGGGCTGTTTTTACATTTCTGCGGTGTTTGTGTTTAGCTGTAATTTTCCTCTTACTCATTTACTATAACCATGCATATTATGTAATGTTTTTCTCGCCATTAAATGATCTTTTGAAGTATACCATTATTTTCATCAAATCATATAATTTACTATAAATAAAATTATAAAATATGGTAAACACACTTTTACGCATCTACAACCGCCAAAAAACACCCATGCTAAATAGTTTCTAAATTTTGTCCTGAGTTTAGAAATTCCCAATCTTAGGGCAATAAGAACAAGCAGCACTTTGCTATTTCCAAACCAATTTTTATCGAAATTAACGCAAGTTACATTGTAACACTGATATCTGTCAAGAATCCTTGAATAACTCTTCACATATTTTTTTAAAAGAAGACAACTTAATGTATTAAACTTGGGGTATTTTGTTTCTTGTTATGCATCCATTTTACCACCAATCTATGCCAAATATATTAAAAAAAGTAATTGGTGATTTTCTTGACACACATAGCAATTTAAGAATACATGTACAAAGAACTTTAAGGGTTACTGCCAAAGAATCCCCCAATATGTTTTCAGCAACAGCTCCTGAGTACAGTGATACTGTATAGGTGTGTTGGGTTCTCTGGGAGCTAAAAGACCTTATTTGGAGGGTGCGCATTCCAGTTTTCCAACCTGGTATTTTTACATATGGGTCATCATGCACAATGTCTATTTGGAACCTTTTTGAAGCTGGCCAATGTAATTTACCCTCATCGAACCATATATTTTTGAAAACTAGACACCCTAGCGTATTTCACATGGTGGTATTTTAACACTTTCCATGCACTAATTCTACCAAGTCTTTGTCAAACTTTTGGGTAGTCATTTTTGTGTGTTATTCTTCTCTCACATTGTTTTTTAGGCATGAATTCTCAGTTCCTGTTATGTGTTACTGACAAAGAACACCCCAATATGTGTTCAGCAACATCTCCCGTGTACAACAGTGCTCCAATGTACAAGTTTCATGGGTTTTTGCAAACTCACAGGGGTCGAATGTAGGGCTTTCCCATTTTCCATGTTTGCACATTGAAACTTGCCAGATTAGTTTGCTGGGCCTGTGTTGCCTTTGAGACCGTATAGCAGCCCAGGAATGAAAATTAACCCCATCATGGCATACCATTTGTAAAAGTAGACAACACAGGGTATTCAAAATGGGGTATGGCCAGTCTTTTGTAGCAGCCACTTAGTCACAAACGCTAACCAAAGTTTTACTGTTTAAAACACTCATATTTGTGTCCAGTGAAGTCTCCCGAGTATAACAATACCCCCCATGTACAGGTTTTATAGTGTTTTAGAAAGTTACAGGGTCAATATAGTGCTTGCCCAATTCAGTTTGCCAGATTAGTTTGCTGGGTCTGTGTGGCCTTTTGAGACCATATGGTAGCCCAGGAATGTGAAATAACCCCATTGTGGCACACCATTTTCATATGTACACAACCCACAGTATTCAAAATGGGATATTTCCAGTCTTTTATAATAGCGAATTAGTCACAAACGCTGGCCAAAGTTAGCGTTTTTATTTGGGACCATATGGCCTTTTGAGACCATATGGTAGCCCAGGAATGTGAAATAACCCCATTGTGGCACACCATTTTCATATGTACACAACCCACAGTATTCAAAATGGGATATTTCCAGTCTTTTATAATAGCGAATTAGTCACAAACGCTGGCCAAAGTTAGCGTTTTTATTTGGTTTTTATAAATATTTTTTTTCCCTTCAATTTATTTTTGTTTCTTTTATATATATATATATATATACTTAGTACGTCCACGGTTGTTAAGGGGATATACATAGAAATATATATAATTTCATTCTAAGTGTATTTTGATATAAATAGATATATATTAATATCAAAATACAGTTAGAATAAAATAACATTTATAATTTTTTTTTAAATTATTTTTAATAATTATTTATTTTTATGATATATATATATACACACAATATATAAAGTTATTATATATATATATATATATATATATATATATACATACTTGTGTAATTTTACTCACTCACTCACTCACTCAATTTTATATTAATATATATATTTTATTATTATTATTATTTATTACCTTTATTTATTTTTTTTTACTTTTTTCACCAACAGGGGGCCTGCCTGTCAGTTCAGGCAGTCCCCCTGTTGGCAGCACTGTGGACACCTATTGCGGTCATGCTCGTTTAGAGCGGTCACATGTCTCCAGGGGGTCCTAAATTGCAGAGTGAGGACAGTCTAGGCTGAGTCCAGACAATCCCCACTAAGAAGAAGACTGATTGTCGGCGGGGGAACGGCAGTGATCGGTAAGTACATGGGGAGGAGAGGAAGGAAGGGTAGGAGTTAATTTTAAAAAATATATCTATATTTATTCTTTTTTTTTTTTTTACTTTAACTGAGTGCCTCGACCCTTCCACGTGGAGCAACCCAGAAGTGATTGCTTCGCGGGGAGCGATCACTCACATGCCTGACAGTGGGGGGGAGGGGGGTATTGTATGATGCCTCCAGCCCTTAGAGCTTCCAGCTCTCATATTAGCTGCGGACGTACTGTTTCTTTCTTTTTTTTTTATTATTCTTTATTTTGTTCGTGCAGATATTTTACATGTAGATTAGCACTGCCACATCAGCTGGTGCAAACCGGTTTGAGTTCACATGGTAACAATAGTATGGCATCAAAAACATTGCACTTTTTTTTTTATACAGTGAAATTCACAAGATTATTTTGTACGCTTTAAGATTAACTTTTGATACGTTAAACGTTTGTTGCATTTTAAAGAAAAAAAGGGAAAATAAAACGAGCAAAGATTACTATTTTGGGCAGCTGTCAGCTTATGTTTAGTCAGGAGAAACAGATACACCCATTAGCTTAAGTAGTAAGGACATGGAGATGGATTGTAATAAACCCCTGATTGTTAGACTTAACTCGTCATTTGTAGTGTTGTGTGGTAATGAGGAGCCTTTGGTTCTATACAGTGGGTGCAAAGGGACATCCCTTTCCAAATGTATGATGTAATTAAGGCTTATCTGTGTGACATAACATCAGTATGACTTTGCTGGGCGCGTATTAAGTACAAGTTAAAGATTGGGGAAACAGGGTGTGACATGTGACAGGTTATGTATGCTATAATAATGATACCCTGCAGGTACACATCCCGATGCCTGTTATAGGGTAGAGCAACCCAGCGGTTGCTGACAGGCAATAATACTTGACCTCATATAGCTATAAGCCCATGGGTGTAGGGGTATTACTTAGCCCATTAGAAACATATAAGCATGCTATACCGTGCTCAATGTGGAGAAAAATAAAAGACAAAGTAAATTAATATAAGGGAACATTCTAATAGGTTGCACTGAAGCTAAAATGTGCCACTGGAGTCTCTCAAGGCAGGCCACGCAGCCCCCCAGGCGCCATTCTCTGTGTGCCGCGGATGACATAAGGACAGTCCTACTGGATCTTACGGACTCATTCCTGCCTCTTCTCGTTTCCAACCTACAAGCCCTGTGAAAAGTTGGGTTGTTGCCAGTCCCGTGCTCCATGTGCGCCTGTCACCTGTGCCTCCGGTTCCCCTGCCATGGATGGTCGATATCGGGATTCCCAGGTGAGATGTCGTCGGGCTGTGGTTCGAGGGTTGTCGTCAGGGTGCTCTAGGCTCAAGTTGGCAGCTGCTAGGACCAGACTTTGATATGAGGGCCGGTCAGCTGAAGCAGCTCCGCTGCTTAGCAGGTTGTAGTAGGAACAATAGCCCAGGGTTAAGAGTTGGGGGCGGCATGGTCCAGAAAGCCATATGACTGCTGCTAACGCAGTCGGGCCCAAGGTGTGCCATGCGGCCGCCATCTTGTTGGTCGGGTGCTGAGGTTCGTTGGCTGAGAATCTCTGCACAGATGGCCCACTCAGTGTCGGCTGCCTCCAGTGGGGACCGGGATAACCCCTGCCGGTCCATGCGGGGGACCAGGGCCTGTGAGGGGTGTCACATAACCGTTGGGTGATTGTCAGGCATGCAAACAGGGCAGCGGCCGTCTGCCCCGCTCCTCTCCCGAGTAGGCTGCATTCTTCAAAGCTTTGCACCACCCAAAGGGCCCCCAAAACTCCCGATCTTGGAGTCCACGGTGTCAGCAACAGCTACTTGCACCCTTGGGTACATTACATAGCTTAAGTATTCGCAGTGAGTCTATAAATTTTGCTGAAAAAGCCAAGCTCAGCAGCATGCGACCGGTCAGCATGTGACCGGTCAGCCTCTGCAGCATGCGACCGGTCAGCATGGCTGCCAGGCCCCGCCCTCTGACGTACCGTTTTTTTGTCTGACATACCCTGTACGTCTGCTTTCATTAAGGGGTTAAAGTAAGTTAAAATCTGATTGAAACTTAAAAATTTTTTTAGATGCAGACTGTGTCAGTCACAGCCAAGGCTAGAGTGACCCTTTAAGTGTGGAGGAAACCTCTAATAATCTGTAGACATGGTAAATATTACAAAGTTAAGGTTTTTATGACAAAATACAAACAGTTTTACAAGTTAAACAAAGATGTGGATTTGTGTTTTTTCTTTCTTCAAAGCATAAGCAGTTGTCTCATACATGCATAATATTTTTTAAAATTCAAACTAAAATAAATTCTTTGCCTCGCTGCGTGCCTCAATATTAGGATATGTTTTCATCCCCACGAGTAAAGTTGTTAACTTATTTCCAGGTTGCTAAGCATTGTCTACACCCACATTGCAGGAGTCGAGAAATACACGATGCGTTTAATTTACAAATGCCTTTATTGCAAAATGAACTCGCATGGATCTACCCATTCAACCTGTAAATCCTTATAGCATGAATACAAAGCATTCTTTATCTGTTTACAAACAAGATGCTGTAGTTTGCTTTAGCAAGGGTCTTTCTTAGCACTCTGTGTCTGGAAAGTCAGGAGTCATTTATTTTTATGGCTAATACAGAGTCTTTGAAGCTTGCAGGTTCTCAGACCTGAAAACTACATTAACCTGTATTAGTGCAGTGTTAAAATAAATGTAAAATATTCTGATGGTAACAATGGAACCTGAAGGAGACACATGTATCTGAAATTCATAAAGAAAAGGGCCTTATCTAGTTATTCCTCTAACACGAAGATTGTCAGGAAAGCTAATCCTAAACTATCTATTTGTATATCCCATAAGGATCAGAGGTATACAACTCATGTATAATGGTGCCTTACACCTGTACATCTGCGACAAATTAAAGTTATCTAATCTAATGCTGGAGGGATTGCAGCCAGACTAGGACATATTACTAACAATGGTAGACATGCTCCCACTTGTAGCCCTACTGGACACCTGGTCACCTTGTGGTTCTCCCAAGCATTGGAGAAAGCTAATTCACCCTGATCCATGGACTTTTCTTCTCTACATACTTATCATAGATCTGAGGAGAGGTGAAAATAAGCTTATCTTTAACCCCTTAAGGATACAACTTCTGAAATAAAAGGAAATCATGATGGAATATTTCCGTCATGTGTCCATAAGGGGTTAAAGTGTAAGAGTCCAGAGTAAACAGAAAAGAAGATCTGGGCACGCAGTGGTACATCCAATGCAGGCTTTATTGGATATTTAAAGGGAACATTTCAACTCCAATGAGTCTGTATAGATACAGTATACACCAACATGCAGTGCTTGAACACATACTATCTAGATATATATAGATGGATAGAAGTGTGTTAGTTGTCTTTTGAATTGCCGAACTTAACAAGAAAGTGTATAATGAGAAAATATTCAAAGACATGCCAGAGAATTGAGGAATATAAAAAATCAGACAGAGCTGAGAGACAGGAATGTATAAATATAAATGTCCCTTTATTCAGGTGCACCAAGTATACAACGGCAACATTCCGATCGCTGCAATGGGCTGTATCAAGCTAATGCAAAACGCAGAATTCAGAAAATACTCACATGATCAATTCTGAACTGAGAGACAGGTCAGGTAGGGGATACAGGAAGGTCAGGAAAAAACAGAATACTTCATATTACAAGGAACGGGCTAGTGTTTGCTACTTGAATAGCAGTGTGATATTTTCGGCCTCTATAATTCTCTATGAGAAGCATTTGATTGGCTGAAAAATCAGGAAGGAGCCATCAAGCATGATGTCAAAAAGGAGATGGATCGGTCTGCTGCAAGTATTGTGTCAAAGCGCTGGAAGAAAAGGTAGTAAAAGGTTATTAGTGTTAAATTTCTAGAAGGAAAAATCTGCAGATGATTTAATTTGTATTTGGCCAGGCAGCATGGACACTATGAATTATTCACGTTTGTATCTCTGCAATAACATCTTGAATTTGAAATTCACCATGACAATTACTCATTTTGGTATTTGGATTTATCTCATGATGAAATAATCTCGTAAATTTTGAGAGACGTCACCAGAAATAATCCAACTTGGGAGTGATTCCTCTTGCAGAATTTTTACAGTTAGATAGACAGTTACCCTAAATAGATAGAACATACATTTCAGGATGAATCACGAAACATCTGTTCATGAAAGAAAAGTTTGACAAATCAGGTTATATCATGACAGTCCCGGCAAATTATCTGTCATAAAAAGGGTACCGTGGGCCTATCACTTTGAACATACTTGAGTTGAGTACACATTCCTGACATTATAGAGCCTAATTTTAAATGTAATAAATGAATTTATGTAGTCTTATATAAGTAGCCTTAAAGAGACACTCCACTGCCCCCCAAAATGAACTTACTATTAAGTAGATATACCCCAATTGCAATATATATGCATTTATGTATTTGTTTTATCATTGGTGATATTTCTAAAATAGCTTGCAAATGATGCAGATCTCTTGTCTGCAGCTTTTGCAAGCCCTTCCCTTCTAACCCTGCCCAGACTTTCTGTGGCTGTCCAATCACAGACTACCCAATGCAGCTCAATGAGAAGTCTTTGCAAGGCAAGTGCTTGGGTCAATTGCTGCCTCTTGAGTTTGGCTCAACTGTGAAACAACCATGTAACGACAAGCCAGGTTGTCTGACTGATAGCTGGAGTGTGTTTCAAAGATAATTTATAAAAATGCCAATTTCTATTTAAAGGACCACTATAGTGCCAGGAAAACATACTCGTTTTCCTGGCACACTAGTGCCCTGAGGGTACCCCCACCCTCAGGGTCCCACTCCCGCCGGGCTCTAGGAGAGGGAGGGGTTAAACGTACCTCTTTCTCCAGCGCCGGGCAGGGAGCTCTCTTCCTCCTCTCCTCCCTCTTCTTCCGTCATCGGCTGAATGCGCATGCGCGGCAAGAACCGCGCGCGCATTCAGCCAGTCCATAGGAAAGCATTATCAATGCTTTCCTATGGACGCTGGCGTCTTCTCACTGTGAAAATCAGAGTGAGAAGCGCGGAAGCCCTCTAGCGGCTGTCAATGAGACAGCCACTAGAGGCTGGATTAACCCATAGGTAAACATAGCAGTTTCTCTGAAACTGCTATGTTTACAGAAAAAAGGGTTATCCTAGCTGGACCTGGCACCCAGACCACTTCATTAAGCTGAAGTGGTCTGGGTGCTTATAGTGGTCCTTTAAATCTGCATATTTTGTAAAATTAAAGAAAATAGGACACATTCTTCACATATAGCAAGCTGAAGTAATTTATGTGTGTGAAATGGTCATTTAAAGTCTAGTTCTTGGGGCAATCATCATCCTCTATCGTCATCATGTTACGAGAAGGCTGATGTCAGAGCAGGTCATAAGATGCTACCTAGGACCCATAGGTTTGAAGCCATGCTCAAACAAGCTTGTAATCTATGAGGATTTAAAGAGTTACCCCATCCTTTTATAAATATTTTCAGGTTTACAACACCCTATTTGGCATTACTAATAGCCCCCGTGCCCCTTAAAGCCAGTAAAAAAATGGTATAAAATGTAATTCCAAAAAATTTAAATTGAGGATACACTGTTAGGAGTGCAATAAAGCCCTGATCCCTACAATGTCTACATATAACACAGCAGATGGAACAAATGGGAGCATACCCATAAAATACAAATATTATTTATTAAAGATACACTAAGACTTACAATACACAAGTTCTAAAACAATACCACATGTATCACAGAAACCAATTAACCAAAAACAAAATGAAAAATTAAAACAAAATTGAAACTAGACCACACACTGAAAAATGTCTAGCAGCAAATTGGTGCACTTAAACAGAAAGGGGGAAATTGTGGCAAAATGAATGAATGGCAAACGTGTCAAAGGACGTGGGCACGAACGTGTTGCATCTCAAAAACGCTTTGGCCCTTAATGAGTTAATTACTCTAACCAGTCAGAATATTTGCCAATAGTAATATGTGGAATAGGAAACAATATAACAAGGTGGCCATCTGGACAGATCTAATATTAAACACCACATTGATTGAATGCAGCAATCTTATTTATGAATTGTTTGCCATCAGGCATTATTTGCCTCTCAAATTCTATTAAATAAATACCAAGCTTTTTGATGTAACAAATAGAATGGATTGGGAGCTTTGACGCTGAGGACAAACGAATTCTGCTAATTTGATTGAAACCATTAACTCCGTGATATATACTGTACATACATATCATGGAGTGAACATGAAATGGTCTGGCACATTGCCCCCGAAAAGACAAATTAAATCAGCTTGGACCAAGATGCTTCCCAGAACAATATAAACATAAATAGAAAAAAGAGCTCTTACTGAATTTCATAAAATAAAAAAAGGTGTATTAAGCACAAAAATCGATGTTTCGACCTTCTACCATTTTGGGTCTGTGCTATGTGCTCTAGTAAACTATATAAATAAGCCAGGGTTACTAAAATGTATGCTTTTTAATTATATTTATATATAA